TGTAATCGATGTAAAGGAGAGACGTTTCCTTTCGCCACAGTCAGTGAACGACACGGTTTCAACACAGTTGCTCACGGTTTCACCCGTGATATGAAAACACTAGTGAAAAACCTATTTCACGACTTATCACCGCGAATATCGCGTTTTTCACCGAGCATAACGCCACTTCACGTAAAACGGGTGAAACTCCTATGTGTGGTGCGGGAAACTGTATGAACAAAGTGTGCTCCCGTCCAAAACAGGCATCGGACTGCAATCACAACAACAACTTTTTAGAGTACGCAATCGATGAAGATCATTGCCTCTCCCGTATTGGAGTTCTCAAAGCAACTCTCTCAAAGCAGAATATGAAACTTCAATAATTCATAACAATGTCATCGCAGCATTTAATTCGCAAGTCGAGCTCCTCTCTGGTGGTGAATACTGCACCGCAGAAAGCTCCTAATATTACAACAACAACATACAATCAGCTTAAGACTTGCTGCCGATACCTACTGTAGTGAAAATAACAGCTGTATTCCCTGTGTGAGTGAGGAAGCAATCAGCGAGCTGGGCCGTGAACAGGGGTACCTGACCAAGGGGTTTGACGCTCACATTGAAGAGGCGTCGTCTCGCACCAAATTGGTTTCTTTTATCCCAAGTCCTTTGAATTTCTCTTTGCTGGCCACACACCGCAGGTTGTGGGGGATCGCCTCTGTTATCTGCGCACAATGGTGATTCAACTCAGTCAGGAAGAGTAGGGAGGGAAATCCCACAAGAAAGACGGCGCAAAAATCACGATATTGCTATGGAGCAAGGACATAGATGATCGAAGATGATCGGACGAAGTTGTCCGATCATTTCCCGCTGTTCCATCCAAGTAAGCATAACTCACCTTCCTGTTATAGGAGAGGTCGAGCGTTTCTAGTAGGCCAGAGTTCTCCAGTATGCTGATCACACCCTCATCACTCACTGATCGACATCTGGACAACTTCAAACGTCGAAGTCGAGGAAGGTTCACGGCGAGAAGTGACAATCCTGTATACGAGTCACTGCCCGAGTGGGAGTCGATGGTGCAGACTGACCCGCATCGTCCATCAATGTATCGGACAAGTCGAGGAACTCCAACTTGTTGAGACTCTTCAGCGCTGATACGAGCGCTTCTGCTGTAGATGACCACCTGACAGGATCGGGGAGATCCAACAGCAACAAGTCTTAGTTCACCCCGTCAAGTTGAGTGCTTTTAGACGAGTCAATTTAGAAAGATTTGCTGGTGAAGGACACACCCCCTCCGGGTTAGACAGATCCAGGCGTAACTGATAGGCAATTTCAATCCAACCTTCTTACAGCAGAAAGGAGGCCCCACCAGGGATGCAGACAAACGGTCCGCGATCATATCCATACCACACTGTCCGATCTTCACCATGTCGAGTCTCGGCAGCGATAGCTCCTCTAGGCAAGAGGGCGTGTCCCTCAATGGCATCGTTATATTGGAGATGCTCTCAGTTGTCATACTGGAGGTAAACCGACGACGAAGTGCTCCTGTCCGGTGGCATTAACGAGTCCAATGCTCGAGCTCTCACCAACGCGGATTATCTTCA